CGTGGCAAGGTCAAGCCATTACCAGCGTAGACAGCGCTGCGAACTTCCACCCATGCCAAATGACGAGAAGATGGACTTGATGCCCAGAGGTTTCGTGATTGGCTTCAGCTTCGTTTGAAGGACCTATCATTGAGGGCCCTTTCAGCGACATTTACTCTTAACATGGGGGCCAATGTAAGACCCTTCACATAATTTTGGAGTGATTGTCACATAGCAGCAATCCGCTTCAGGCAATGTCAGTTGGCAAAGGAAGCTTTGTGCTGCATCTCGTGACAAGAATTGAACTTTGGCGTCCGAAGCATTGAACTATGCAAGTTGTGAATGCTCTGTTTGGAAGACTGGAGGTTGATTGCTAGTGTCAAGGCTTTTTGAGCATGCCGACCATCTTCCCCAGAGTTGTCTCATTATGTGGGTTTCATTGTTCCATGTGCTGGGGAAGCTCCCCTAAAGTGCGATGAGTCTTGTTTCTCTCATTGTTTTTTGCGTTCTTTTGAATGTTTCTGCCGGTTGTCGGGATGCACCGTCAGATGCACTTGACGAATGCCAAGAGAGTGGTCTGTTCGCACTTATAGCATTGAGAGAAGGACCTTTGGGAGAATCTGCTTGTATGCGCGTATTGCAAAATCACTCGTAGCATCACAAGATACATTGCCCAGATCGGACAACAAACTGCAGAATATTGTATATACAGTTGCAAGACAAGGTGTGCATACAAAGCGCTGATCCAACTGGATCTTGTGTTGCACAGCTGGCGCGATCATTGCTCGAGCTTCTGCACTGAGAGCTGATCTTGCAGTTCGTCTTTCTTTGACTTCGTTGCTGCGCGTTCTTCGTACAGTCGCAAAGGTTCAAAAACATAGCAGCCCCAAGGCTGGAATTTGACGAGACAGTTGACTTGTGCGCGCAGGCCAAAGCCACCAAAGTCCATAGAAGGCTTCATGTTGTTGACTGCAAAATCCGTACTGCACAGTGTTTTGAGTGGATTGCTTGCTACAGCAGGCCTGAGCTGGAGCATTGAAGCTGATTGAATTTACTAGCTGGTTGCTAACTCTATTCCGAGACACGAACAACTTTCCCGGAGATATTGAAACTGAAAGTTTTCTGGGAAAGATGTTAGTTGAAACTTGAAACCCTATAAATAATGCGATGATCTGCCTACGAACTGGTGCAGGATCAACAGTAGTGGCCTTAAAGTCAGATTCCAATTTGAGTCATTTTTAGATGTTCGAGTCGTTCTTGAGTGGAGTCAGTCGCTCAGACGCCCCAGAAAGCCCTGCACTCACACTCCAGCCGCCTTGAGCACTTCGATGCAGGTGAGTCTTCCGAGACTGTCCTCTTGCTAGATATGGCTTTCATTTCATCTAAACCAGACTTGAGAAATTTCAAAGTGGCCTTGACTGCCTTTGAACACTGATCTTAATTTCTCAAAGACAGAAGAAGGAAGTTTGCACTATCGGCCCTCGTGTGAAATTTTGCCGGAATGCCCCCTGCTAGATATTTAACGTGCCATTTTTGTCTCCATACAAAGGCAACCACTGCGAACAAAGCTCCTTTCCGTCTACATGTCAGCTTCATGTGTTTGTCTTTGCAGATGCTTGGTGATCGAATGCTTCCCGAAGGTAAATCTGAGCTTTTGACAGATCATGCCTTTCTAGCTGCAAGAGCTTGGGGTCATAACTTCGGAGAGATGCTGTTCGGTTCTGTTTCCAGCGCATCGAAATCCGGTTCCACACGGATGCGCAGTCTAAGTGTGTGAAATTGAGCAGATACAGCCAGCCTTCGGAGTCAAACCTGGTTGGGCCCTCCTGAAGGCTTGAGTAAGCCTCCTGCAGAGAACTAGCAAAGTGCTTTTCGCGTTGCTGGCACAACTGCTTAGCTCTCAAAGATTGCAAAGCAAAGCATCACAATGTCAATGATGTCCTTTGTGACCACACATTCACACATTTTAGCAATCCCGCGGCCACCAGCTGCTTGCTGGGTCTTGAAAACTGAGGAACGCATATGAAACTCCATACCGGACGGTCATTCCAAGCAAACAGATAAGGAGAGCATCGCGCAGCTTCCGGGCAGATGAATGCAGTGTCGTGTCGTGCTTTGTCCCATGAAGTGCTACTGTGCTCACAACCTGCTTGAATGCAAGACTGCAATCTATCTTCGAACGAAGGGAACCGGTCACAAGATTTGGGAGCGCCAAGAAGTGTTTCCAATTTCTAAACAGCTCTCATTTGACAAGACGATTCGCATTGTCGGATGTGTAGGGAGGAGATATGCCGAGTTGAGAACTTAATGCCCGTCAATCAGCCATTTTTCCGATTAGGGATCAAAAACGATCTGTGTAACGATCTTGGTTTGGGCCCAGCCATTTGCCACCAGTTTGGTTAGGCTCTTATTCACTATGGGTTTTCAATGTAGGTAGTGCCTTGTTCCAGGTCCAAAGGAGAACGAGCTGCCGCCGACAACTGGGGTCAATGCTGTATCTGGGTAAATTATAGCGACCTCACAACGACTTCATTGTAAATGGTGGTTGATAAGGGAAATCCCTCCATTTCTGCCCGGCCATTTCTTGGGCACCCCTTGCGCTAGGGCTGGGCTCTCCTGCCCTGTGAATTTTGGTCAATCAGTCCTTCATCAGCCACGTTCCAGCATTACTTCTTGACACTTGAGATGCATTGAGAGGTTTTTGTCAAAGCAAGAATATGTAATATGTGTTTGGACACTTTCAGGCTTGGAAGATGAAAGGTAGTTGCATTTGGGTCCTGCTGCACTCACCAGGGTGCCGGATACGTTCACACTGAGTGGCCAGTATGTCCAGGTAGATTAAGTAAAGCAAGTGTCGTTCGCGGCAAGTGGAGAGAGTTGAGGCCCGTAATTGTCTTGATGAAACATAGTCCTGGACAGAAAAATGCAAGATTCTCATTTTGCCTCGCGAATCAGGTGACAGAGTCTGCTTAGAGCATTAAGCGTTTCCAGCCACCACCATTCCAGTCTGTTGAGAGGCTACGGCTCCATGAAATTGTCCATTGCCAACCTCAGCAAGCTTCATTTCAGAAGGCTGTCTGTGCGGGGTGTTGTGCCATGTCGGATGCCATGTTCAAGGGCTTGGCGTGGCAAGGTCAAGCCATTACCAGCGTAGACAGCGCTGCGAACTTCCACCCATGCCAAATGACGACAAGATGGACTTGATGCCCAAAGGTTTCGTGATTGGCTTCAGCTTCGCTTGAAGGACCTATCATTGAGGGCCCTTTCAGCGACATTTACTCTTAACATGGGGGCCAATGTAAGACCCTTCACATAATTTTGGAGTGATTGTCACATAGCAGCAATCCGCTTCAGGCAATGTCAGTTGGCAAAGGAATCTTTGTGCTGCATCTCGTGACAAGAATTGAACTTTGGTGTCCGAAGCATTGAACTATGCAAGTTGTGAATGCTCTGTTTGGAAGACTGGAGGTTGATTGCTAGTGTCAAGGCTTTTTGAGCATGCCGACCACCTTCCCCAGAGTTGTCTCATTCATTGCTCGAGCTTCTGCACTGAGAGCTGATCTTGCAGTTCGTCTTTCTTTGACTTCGTTGCTGCGCGTTCTTCGTACAGTCGCAAAGGTTCAAAAACATAGCAGCCCCAAGGCTGGAATTTGACGAGACAGTTGACTTGTGCGCGCAGGCCAAAGCCACCAAAGTCCATAGAAGGCTTCATGTTGTTGACTGCAAAATCCGTACTGCACAGTGTTTTGAGTGGATTGCTTGCTACAGCAGGCCTGAGCTGGAGCATTGAAGCTGATTGAATTTACTAGCTGGTTGCTAACTCTATTCCGAGACACGAACAACTTTCCCGGAGATATTGAAACTGAAAGTTTTCTGGGAAAGATGTTAGTTGAAACTTGAAACCCTATAAATAATGCGATGATCTGCCTACGAACTGGTGCAGGATCAACAGTAGTGGCCTTAAAGTCAGATTCCAATTTGAGTCATTTTTAGATGTTCGAGTCGTTCTTGAGTGGAGTCAGTCGCTCAGACGCCCCAGAAAGCCCTGCACTCACACTCCAGCCGCCTTGAGCACTTCGATGCAGGTGAGTCTTCCGAGACCGTCCACTTGCTAGATGGCTTTCATTTCATCTAAGCCAGACTTGAGAAATTTCAAAGTGGCCTTGACTGCCTTTGAACACTGATCTTAATTTCTCAAAGACAGAAGAAGGAAGTTTGCACTATCGGCCCTCGTGTGAAATTTTGCCGGATGCCCCGCTAGATATTTAACGTGCCATTTTTGTCTCCATACAAAGGCAACCACTGCGAACAAAGCTCCTTTCCGTCTACATGTCAGCTTCATGTGTTTGTCTTTGCAGATGCTTGGTGATCGAATGCTTCCCGAAGGTAAATCTGAGCTTTTGACAGATCATGCCTTTCTAGCTGCAAGAGCTTGGGGTCATAACTTCGGAGAGATGCTGTTCGGTTCTGTTTCCAGCGCATCGAAATCCGGTTCCACACAGATGCGCAGTCTACGTGTGTGAAATTGAGCAGATACAGCCAGCCTTCGGAGTCAAACCTGGTTGGGCCCTCCTGAAGGCTTGAGTAAGCCTCCTGCAGAGAACTAGCAAAGTGCTTTTCGCGTTGCAGGCACAACTGCTTAGCTCTCAAAGATTGCAAAGCAAAGCATCACAATGTCAATGATGTCCTTTGTGACCACGCATTCACACATTTTAGCAATCCCGCGGCCACCAGCTGCTTGCTGGGTCTTGAAAACTGAGGAACGCATATGAAACTCCATACCGGACTGTCATTCCAAGCAAACAGATAAGGAGAGCATCGCACAGCTTCCGGGCCGTCGATTCTCCTCCCGTTTTTGCTTGAGATTAAAACATATTATGTCATATTATGTTTTCAGGCTTGTTGGGAGGGTTAAACTTGCGTGTTCCTGTATCCGTTGGTGGTGCAGTTCAAAGCTGTTTGATCTACAGTTGAAACCACAATGTGGCACTTGAGCCAGAGAAGGAGGTTGCGCCCCCAAGTCTAAGGGTTCGAAAGGCTGGTGGTGTACTAAAATCGCCACAAGGATGGAATCAAGCAACTTTTTTTTTATGCCAACCTAAGACACCTTTAGCATTTGCCGTGCCAACTCCAAGGGACAGTACCATGGTTGGCTGGAAGTTGTCTGCGTGCGACGGCAGTGCCAAGCTCCCATGACATCGTTGATCGATGCTGCCGTGATGGAAAGCGGTTGCCGGCGCCTGGACCAATCAGAGGCGACATTCAGTGGCTGCATGCGACTGCATGGTGCAGTCACTCTACCAATTTCCACCGTGGATTGAAGTTTGTTCCCCAGCAAAGATGGTTTGCGTTACTGGTCCGACAAAGACAGCTGGAGCAGTTTGCTACTTGGGAAGCTTTGACCTGAAGTCTGGGCCAAGACAAAGACACGAATTGCGCTTGTCCAAGTTGCGATGCTCGATGCCAAGCGGTTGCGAACCAGGGCATCGGGGTTCTGGATGCATGCAGCCAGGATGTTTTCTGGAAGATGTCGCTGTCCTAATTAAGCCAGCGTACCAAAGCGCCTGACTTTCAGTTGAAATGGGATGTGTGAAGCCAAGTTCCGAATGTTTTTTGAGATCAATAGTTTTGTTGTCTGTTTCAGATCTAGCTTGTATTGCCTGCAGAATGTCTCGTGCAAGCTCTCCCGAATGCATGCGACTGGCAATAGTCTTGAATCACAAAGCGAATAATGCTGCCCTGCAAGGTGCCTGTGCGCACACCTGCTCATATCTAATTCTTGGTGAGCAGAAGTTGAGCTGTGCCTGAGTCAGCAACAGTCCACCTGAGTTTGAGGATTTCACAGGGTTTGGTTTGAAACGCAAGCAACTTCGTTCCACTATGCGAGTGGCTGAGTGAAGAACGGGATTCGATTCCAAATTGCGCTGCCGATGATTGGACTGACTTGCTGCATCAGAGATTTCCAGGCCGTGCGCATGGCTTGTCTCACGTGCGTACCGGAAATGCCGAGCACAATAGAAACGGAATCCATGATTCCCCTCTGTTGCGCGTCCAGAGAGTTTGCTTTGGTGGACAGCCCCTGGCTAAATGGGATATCAAGCCCTCAATTTCCTCAAGCATGGTCTGTGGTTGGCAGAGTGAATGGCTTTGTATGCGCGCGTACAGGGATCAGACACTATGAATATGCTCAATCGCGGCTTTGAAGCTCCAGCACATGTTCACGGCAAAACCCACAAAAAGAAGCCATGGCACGTCCGTGACGTCGGTGGGCTTCAAGCACGAACTGCAATTCGGTCTCGGGCAGCAATAGCAAGCTTCCGGCACTGCTTTGGAAGAGAAGACATGCAGATTCTGAGATTGGACGTGGAGAGTTCCCTTTGGCCAGCCAGACCGTTCGCCTCTCACGCCAGAATGAAGGATGATTGTTGCCAAAAGCCCAAAGAAAGAAGCTTTGTGGTGACATTGTTTGTGCAGTCGCACAGGTTCACCAAGTTGCGGGCATGGAAGCTCCGAGTCGCTTTTTGCCACCGTACTCCCAAGAGAGAAGAATGTGCAGAGAGCCGTAGATTGAAACATTCCAAACTGTATTCTGCCCTGTTGCTGAGGCACAGGGACTGCAAGGTCAGATGGTCAGCGCATATAGATAGGATATGATTGGATAAGATTGGGGTCTTCAGTGTGTGCCCGTGCAACCAGCAGGCCATGAACGCAAAGCCATCGAGTTGTCCCAATGTTTCGTGATGCATGGAATCAACGATTCCAGCTGAGCTCCTTGCGGTGGTCACATGCACAGCTGAAAGTATTTTGGTGGTGGAACGGCTGATGCCAAATGTTTGGAAACGGCAGTGGCAGGAAACGTCACAACTTTGCGTCACTTAAGACTGGGAACAAAGCTTCCAAGTTGAGACTCCCATCCCTGTAGACCCTGTCCATCAGAATTTTTGTTCTTGCAAGTAGCTCCCCATCCGAAGCTATCTTTTCTTCGGATGCTTCGGACATCCACCTGGAAAGTAGACAGACCTTCCTTCTATTGCGACCTCTGGCTTGCTGAAACCCAGGCTGGAAAATAAACACGTGAACTTGAGTTTTTGTGCGAAGTTGGTGTGTCCAGTTCTAAATTGGTAACTTTGGGTGGGTTTTCTGAAGCTCACAGGTATTTTGGGGGCCCCAAAGTTGAACTGGCATCCCTTTTTGGACAGCGTCGGGTTGATCACCCCATCGACCCCCATGAAAATCGTGGTTCAACATCCAGTTTATTGCCATTAGATGATAGAACATCGAGTATGCTCAGACAAACTCAAATGTTCAGTGGCATAACCCTAGCTACTAAGGTCTACTTATAGAATGTCCAGAGATTGGATCTTTAAGTAGACTATAAGTGACAATAGATCTTTAATAGCTAAATTCTAGATTGGATCTTTTTGAATGTCTGAAATCAACTGTTTCAGTGGTGGTTGGTTTCTCTTTCTGGGAGCATGGATCCATTGAGATCCAACACCTGTCCAGACCGAGGGACCGAGGACATGTTCCGAGAAGGAATTTTGCCTATCAAATTTCCTGATGTCATGCTGATGATGTTGTGATTTTAGACCAAAATATGTTGGTTTCATATACGGATGATTCTGGCGTTATCAACAAAAGATTGGTCGAAGGAAAAATCTACAAGTTGTTTCATGTTTTTTTTTCCTTCCCATGGAATACAAGGTTTTCCGATTTCAAATTTTAGACCAATCCATTGATACCACCAACCATCGATGTTTGTTAGTTATATTGCCAATATCTCATTACACCACTGATTTAATTATTAATATAACGTATATAAATATATCATTGTACCATATTATTCACTATTAATTAAAATATATTAATATCATTAATATGGATTTCATGAAACCATCCCAGTATTCCATTGATTTCCCTTAAATCCATTGAGAAAACACCGAAAAAAAAAACACCGCCCCAGGAGGATTTCAGCCGTGCCACCCAGTCTGCGTCTCTCGGGTCCGGCGCGAAGTTTCCACCCGAGGCGCCGCAAAGGTGACTGCCAGTGGTGAAGAAAATTTGGCGCATTACCCTCTGCAGTTATGGCCATCTACCAGTTACAAGTACTAAGAAAACCCCATTTATAGAATGTATAATCCCATTTATAACCAGTTATAACTAATAGATGGCCATAACTGTGGTAAATCAACTGTTTCTATGGTGTTTAATAGGCAAACCAAGAAAAAATGGGATATTGATATGATATTAATGGGAAATACTACGTACTCTCTGGTAATTTCTTACGTAGCTTTTGAAAATGGCCATAGAAATAGTTGAATTTACCCATTAATAGCATGGTGATTTTCCATATTATTGGAAACAACACCATTTTTAATGGGTAAATCAACTATAAATGGTCATGTTCAATAGCAAACTGTTAGTTTACCAAAGGGTAATTGGGGGAATGATCACTTTATAACCACAAATTAATCCATAATAGCCACAAGTACCTGATAAATTTGCTGATTTGATGAATGATACAAAACATGGCGATTTGATGAATGATATTGAAAATGTGGGTCATGATACTGAATATTGATACTTTATATCATTGGGGTTGCTTGTAGGTTCTTTTTTGGGGATCTTTGTTATGATTCCCACTTCTGCGTAACTCAATGGCGATGGGGTTTAAAACATACAAACCTAATGAAAGCGGATATAAGCGGATGTTCATCACCTTGAATCCTAGTCCTAGACTCGGTTAGTGTTGACCCCATCACATACTTTCCATAATTCACTTGGTCATGGACTGATTGGGTTGGGCGTCTTTCTGAACCACGAAAAACAAAACGACCACACAGGTATATGCTAAAGGCAGTGCTCCATAATAAGCTGCCATTCCCTGCTACACCATAGTTCAAGTCGGAAAATCCCTTAACAAATGCAACAATATGCAACAATCATCATGACAATTATGTATGACTCATGATATTTCATGACTATGTTTTAAGGTTTCTAGTGCTGGTCAGTTTCTAGGCTTGTTAAAGAAAAACAACAGCTGCCCTTTGAACCGCCAGGACGTGACCTTGACCTTTGAACCCCTGGTGTTGGAGGACGATGATGTTAGGTTAGGCAACAAACCAGCAATCTTTTGATGGTTGAAGAACTGTTCATACTAATGTTTATAGATTAAACAACCATATATATGACCATAAATACCAATTAATAGGTATATTCATTAACCATTAATTACTAACCATTACTGTTTATAGTATACCGTAATTTGAAATATCCATAGTAAATTTTGGGATGGTATGGGATGGTGACCACTTGATTTCTGAATGGAGACCATGGACATCCTTTCAGGCAAAGCAATTTTTTTGGTCATCAGTTGGTCATACATTTTTTCAGTTTTCCATATAGCGTTTTCTAAAAAACAAAATCATGGCTTCACTTCAGAACTTCCGATTCCAGGTCATCGAAAAGAGGTGACTTAACCCCAGTGAAACCTCTGTGGGTTTCAGCCGATTTGAAACAAACACGGAGGTGAGGGATACTTCTGACGAAAATACCAGGGAAACTCAGAAGCTCTGCAGTTTCTTTTCAGAGAGGTCTTGGTATTTCCGGGTATGACATAATGACATAGGTATGATTCTTGCTGTGCAGGAGAAAGAGCCACAAGTGGCACCGGAGAGTGAGAGTGACGAGGGTGACGCGATTCTCTCACAGGTTGGCCTCCGCTTTTCACCAGGGACTTAGGGCCTAGAGAGGGAGAGGTTCAAACACAAAACACACCAGGTTTGGGATTTTCCACAGCCAGAGAGATTCTGAATATCGATCCATGGATGACTAGACAATATCGAGTGAGGCGTGTTCCATTTGTCATGGAGTGTCATTTGGACATGTTTATTGTGATGTTGCATGATATTACAAGGAATCAAAACAGTCACATGCTGGTTGGTGGTTTCAAACAAATGTTTACATTTTATTTGTGATAATGACCGCACATGGCAAACATATTTCCCACGGGGTTGAAACCATAAACTGCGAATCAAGACTATATACATAGAACATAGATTTGATGAGTCAAGATGTGGGATCGCTCCATCCACAGGTTTTGACAAGGTTCTTATCTACATCAATGCTCAATGGGAGGGTGACATATTGTTTTGTTTTTTTTATGACTTTCTCCGCAATCAGATTGGAAGCAGGCCATCCATCGGTCCACTTTTTTTTTGTTGACATTTTTGCATTGGTTAAAGGGATTGTGCGGATCAGATCCCATTTGCGTTTGTCTGAAAACAAAAGTACCCCCAAATCCATCCAACTCATCATTGTTGCCCGTTATATTTTGCCATAACTGGTGGTATCTCCCTATTGTATCCTATTTTCAGACCCGTTTAGATCCGAAAATTGGAGATTCCACCAGTGCAAAATATCATGGGCAACAATGATGGGAGAACCATGTTTTTTCCGAACCAAATCCGATAAAATCAGTTCCAGTTGTTTCCAACTGACGACTTGAACGCCGCGTGTTGGCCGCTCTCGCTCCATGCAGGACATGGACGAGTTGCCGCAGGTCATCATTCCGGAGGAAGCCGCGATCGGAAAACCAGCTGGATCGGCAGTTGTAAACAACGATGCAAAACTGGTTGGTGGTTTGGAATATTATTTTTTTTAAAGAACATATATTGAGAATGTCATCATCCCAACTGACGAACTCATATTTTTCAGAGGGGTACGTATACCACCAACCAGATAATTGTATAATTAATGATGGGTAAAAATGTCGAATACATCAGTTGTTTATCTATCAAATTTAAGTGTTTCTATGTTTGTTGAATGATATATGTATGTATAGTTACTAGTAGCGAGTTTCGCTAATGAATAGTATGTAATTTGACTTGTTTAGTTGTCTACCGTATCCTGGTATATCCTGGTTATGGTTATCTGATGTTAGATGGGGGGGTTATAAACCAACAATCTTCAGTTTGCAGATAATTAAGTGTATCACATCCACGATGATTTATATCCATCGTTAATAAGCATTTAGACATTTAGATGCTGTTAAAGGATCCTGGCTGGATGTGTTGATGATTTTTGTTCAAGACAAGTGAAGATCAAAATGCACCCAACTAATTAAAGAAGTACCACACTGGGATCCTCTGGAACCAGCTAGCAATCATGTTGCCATGCTCTCTTGAAGGCTCTGTTGGTTCCAACACGATTAGAGCTGCCACCAGTATGTCAGCTGTTTCAAAGCTCAGGCTACTGACATTGGTAGTGCTCTCACTGTGGTCATGGACAATCACGGATCCTCCCAGCAAGACCAGTCATGTTTGATTGGATGCTCTTGATTGTGAGTTCACACCCCGGTTGCTTTTTGGGAAATCAACCATATGATGATAATAAAATAAACATGTTGATCCATATCATTGGAAAGGAAGTCCCTGATTTGAATGGATCCTGATTTTGTTTAATTTTGTTTGGTAGTAATGATCCATTCCAATCAGGACTTCCACCAGCATGACTCTCATTCGCAGAAGTGGATCCAGGGATTCTTTGCAAGCACAACCTCATATTTGCTGGTTAAAAAAAACATTTATAACATATACCTAGATGCTCCATGTATGGAATATTTACCAACATGTGCCCTAAAAATCATCCAGTTATGTAGGTAAATATTCCATACATGGAGTGTTTGGGATATATGAAACCCCTAGTTTTTTGTACAATGTGAGGCCCCCGTTAGATAGCTAAGTTGGTGAACATAAATCCAATTTCACTATGGTTTATGGTACGCAAAAAACGAACTAGTTACTGGGGCGAATCTAAACCAACAAACATCACTGGGGGGCCTCACATTGTATTGATCGCATGAATGGAATTCCTTGATACAACCTCATATTTGCTGGTTAAAGAAACAAACACATTTATATACCCTATGGTAAATAAACATAGACCTTGAAAATGACCAATTTTTAGTGGTTTCACTAATCTTCCAACCCCGTTTTCTGCCAGGGTCCAACTGTTAATTTACTGGAGGGTATAACATGAGTTAACCATTATTCAATAGTTAACCATTATTC